TTTACTGCACTGGCTGTGCAACAACCTTATGGTGCTTCTCCGCATCAACGAACGATATGCTGTCCTCGACCCCATCAGTCTTGCAACAAAACACAAAACAAGGACACCCTTCTGACGCATCGCCTAGACTTTCAGGACTAACTCTCTCAAGGGCATCCAGGAGAGACACGAGGTCTGTCGTGGGAACCCGCGCCACCATGCTGAACCGCTGTGAAACCGCCGTCCTCAGTCCCTCCAGGTCACGATTCAATCCACTCGGCGTTGTTGCAGTCCAGTCTTCCAAAAAACGTGTGAAACTGCGCGAGGTCACCGGCTGCTTCCCAAAATGATTCCCACAACAGCTCCGCCAAACAGGGAACTCAGCGGCTGTGAAGGACAGGATCAGGGTGCTTTTTGATGATATGTAAGGATGACACGTAAGTGGCATTGCATACCAAACGTGAAAACCAGAATTTCAAGCAGGCCTGCAGGCCTAGTCCGGAAAAGAAAATGCTTACACACAATTACAGAACATGTCAAATACGCGCATCCACGACGTCCAATTACTTGAAAGTTGAAGCATCACCTCACAGGAAGCATTGAAAATGAACACGTTGATCTGATTGATGTGTGTTCTCCCCAAATAAGGCAACTTTGGCTTAGCATCTCGATCCACCTCCATGTTGGGATTCTGCCCTTCTAATGAGAAGTGATCTTATCCATCCAAAGTAGAACTGTCTAGCGAAACCATAGAGGCCACTAACTATAGTGTCTTCCAAAGGTGCTTTGCACATGTTCCAGGTGTTCGATTCATCTGCAAGCAACCCAGCTTCGGACACATGCAGTGCAGAACTATAGATGATATGGTTTGATTCCAGTCCCACTCCATGGAACTGGAACTTATTGCTGACACCCGTTACTACTAGTGCATCGCTTCTAGTAACAGGTGCCTTACTAGTAGTAACAAGAAGCTATTAGGAACAAGTGCATCGCTTCTAGTAACAAGGTGCCTGTAACAAGGTGCCCATGTACCCAAATATGCCGCCCCCGTGGTTTCTGGTCGCCCCACTCCCCCGCCTCAGGGAATTGCGAGGCCATCGGCCTGGGTACGACAGCATTGTCTGCAGCAGGCCACAGTTTTCCAGCTGTTCTTTCCTTTACAAATCCAAAAGAAGTTGAACCTGAAATCTCCCCAAGCATGTATGTATGTATGTATGGTAATGTAATGTAATGTAATGTTATGGTATGGCATGGTATGGTATGGTATGTATGTATGTATGTATGTATGTATGTAATATATATGGCAGCATGGTGTCATTGTGTGGCGATGTTTTTAGGGCTTGATGAATTACCTTCTGATCTCAACATGGCGATCAAGGTTTTCTTTGTGATGACTCAACAGGATCGAATTTGAAGGTCCAAAGGCCAAAGGGGCGTTGTATTGTCCTGCTCGCTACCAAAGAGCTGTACAGCTCGCGACTGCCGTCCTTGGTCTCCCACTTCATGTCCAACCTGGTTATGGAGTGTAGTGCAAGGACCTCCTGACGGATGGCGCCTCACTTGCGCACACATAATTCCCCTCAAATCCGCACACAGACTTTTTTATATATTTAACTCAAATGCGCACACATGGTTCGCCTCATCTGCGCACACATCGATTACATTCCTCTTTAAACAGCCCATGTTACCCCAAACTCAAATGCGCACACATGATTCGCCTCATTTGCGCACACACAAATTGAGTCATGATGATCTCTTTTTGCTCATTGCTTCGTTTGATTGATGATGTGTTAATAACGTCCCTCTGGACATTCATCTACATGATGATCTCTTTTTGCTCATTGCTTCCACAGGTTCACGTCACACAGACGCTCTGCGTTTGATTGATGATGTTGGTAACGACACATGTTCCGCATGAAAGCTCGCATGTCTGCGCGCTGTGCCCGTCCACGGATCTGACAGCCCAAACACCGCATCTAAAGCGATGGACGTAAAATGAGACAACAAGGTTCAGATTGTGAAACAATCTGGTCGGGTTCCATTCATTCATTCATTCATTCATTCATTTTTTCAGCCGTGTAAGCCGCGTGTACAGCCGAGGAAGCCGCGTGCACATCCGAGTTTCGCGTGCACAAACGAGATCAATTCTCCGCGTGTACATTCGAGGGAAATTCCGCGTGTACAGACGAGGCTCCGCCCCCTCCTGACTGGTCCGAAGTCAGTCGCAGCGATGATTTGCCCAGTGGAGCGATGACGAGTTCGGGTGATGACGGTCTTTGGTTCCACACGATTTGAGGGCATATTGAAGCTCTAGCCTTAGAGCGAACCACTCTGGTTCCTTTTGAAGTCAACACCTGTATGTCAAAAATACCGATCCTGACAATTTTGTACACAAAGCAAGCAACACATTTTGAGTGAAGCGACCGGAGACCTCAAACTGCCGAAAAGCTAACGAACTGGAACAAACCTCGATCCAGCGGATGTTCAGTTATCGATCAGGTTTGAAAGCTGAAGGATTGCTGTTGGCTACGGTCAACATGCCCAATCCAAACAAGGATCACATCCTGCTTCACTGGTTTGGTCCAAAAAATACCTATTACAGATATATGCCTGGTTCTTCAAAGTGACCTTTTGATAACCTGGTTTGAGGTCACTTAAGCCTCCTAAGGGTCACTTAGGAACCTTCACAAGGTCACTTTGAAGAAGCTGGTGTATATATACACATTAACAAACACTATAGTACCATAGTATCGAAATAAACACGTCAGGACAATCCACCGGGTCCTAACGGTTCCACCGGGGCTCCCGACAGCCAAATTGCACAGGGCTGCCCCGCATCGCGGCCCTCCTTGTCCCGGTCACCCACCAACCTGACGGATCCAACGCTACGTTCGCTACGCGTCTCGATCGCTCCGTTCCTAGTGATGCTCTTGTTCCTAGTAGCTTCTTGCTCCTAGGAGTAAGGCCAGGAGCCCCGAACGTAGCTTCTTGGTACTGTAGTAAGAATGCTCCTAGTAGCGATGCCAGGAGCCCCGTTCGTAGCGTCCAATCGCTCCTGGGTTTCGGAACCCCAAGAAGATGCTGGATGAATATGGAGCCGGAGCCTATGGAGCCTATGCTGTCTGCGTGTGTACGTTTTGTTTTTGTTCTGAGAGAACCCCCCAGTGCCCCCCAGTCGCGTCTGGACACATGTTCATGGAGGTGTTGCGTTCCGGCATGGGCACTGCGGTTGGTTTTAGAGGCGTTCTGGCATGCTCCTGCTTGTGCTTGGACTTTGGAACCAAAGAAAAACGAAAAATTGCAAGAAAGACAACAAGTCGACCTTGACATCGGACACAAGGGGCCAAGTTCTGCTCCTTTGAATCCTGGAGCCCAGCTTGAACTGCACTGAGAATCTCAAAGGAACCAATGTCGTCCAATTTAATTGTTTGTTTCTTCTTCCCTTGTAGCGTCCTTGCTCCTAGTAGCGATGCTCTTGTTCCTAGTAGCTTCTTGCTTCTTGCTCCTAGTAGTAAGGCCAGGAGCCCCTAGTAGCGTCCAATTTAATTGTTTCATCTGTTGTATTCTTCCCCTGTGGAGCCAGCTGCATCCGGGGACTGAAGTCCGACCCGGAGGTAATGGGAACCTGTGGGAACCCTCATGCTTTCTGGGGAGGATCGATGTTTGATTCTCAGTATGGTATGGTATGGGACATCCATGTCCATCCCACGCCTTGCTTGAGGGTTTCTTGTGGGGTCGAACTAGAGTGATGGTGCCATTCCTCACCCTATCCCTGGATGTCCCTGGACACTCCATGAAAAGTCCTTTTCGCGGTGCCGACGTGAACTGTCAGTTCACCACCGATCCACCGAAGCCACCGAAGCCGAGCCCCGATCCAGTCGAGGGGCTTCCGCTCGAGAGCGGAGAGGCTCAAATTCCCTTCACTCTTTCGAAGCAAAGAGCCATCCTTCCGGCCTGAGGAACAGTCGGGCCATGTCAGGCCATGGAGGCAAAAGCGGCCGAGTGTTTGTGTTGACAAAGTTTGAGTCTCAACATACTTCTCAACATATATGTGAGGAGATTGTGCACCATCCATGCTAATTCCTTCCTTTGGGACACAAATTATACAACCCCGATTTGGAAGCAACCCATCCAAACTCCACTGAGTTTGGGGTGCTGGATTTGCAGTGCATTTGGATCTACACTCGGCCAAAATCACAAGCTGGCGACCATGGAGGAGAGCCACCAACAATGTCTATACCCAAAGTTCTTAATCCTTACTCCGCAAAGAACAAAATGGGGGCTCTGAGTTCTACTCCATAATCGGAACGAAACCGAGCAATCCAAAAGTTCTTCATCCGTAATTGCCCTATAGGATTATTACATTAAGGTTTGTGATTGATGAGGACGGGAAGATAGATGATATCCCCGGTCGGTGTCACAATTTCTTTCGAACGTGCTCCCGGGCCAGGCCCCTATACAACATGATGCCAGGAGCCCCTAGTAGTGTCTTTGCTCCTAGTAGTAAGGCCAGGAGCCCCTAGTAGCGTCCTTGTTCCTTAGTAGCGTCCTTGTTCCTAGTAGTAAGGCCAGGAGCCCCTAGTAGCGTCCTTGCTAGATTATGATCAGATCAGGCCCCTGTTCCAGCGACGGTGGTGCCCGGACGCGTGAGTCGCCATAACCACCTCCTTACTAGTAGCGATGCACTTGTTACTAGTAGCTTCTTGTTACTACTAGTAAGGCACCTGTTACTACTAGCGTGGCACTTGTTACTACATTACTGATCTTCCACGTTGCGAGGTGATTCTGGTTTGCGCATCATGCTTACCGCTCACGCGATGGGGCGTCAGTGACGCCTAACCGGATGCTTCCTTACTGAAGCTTGGGCCGTGGTGTCGTGTGCGAGTAGGGAAATCGCTGTTATTCAAAAACTCGAACATTGAACTCCCGAAAGCAAAGCTTCCGTAAGCCACTTGGCAAAGTGATACAGTCCAGACAGCTAGGGTCAAAGCCAGGACAAAAGGTCAAATTCTGCAAGCTGCTGCTTGGCAAAGTGACACCTTCCAGGCTCTGGTTGAAATCCCAGCCGAAGGTCAAAGTCTGCAGAGTGCTTGGCAAGGTGACACCTGACAAGCTCTGGTTGAACTTGT